CTGGTTCTGGAAAAAAAAAAAAAAAAAAAAAAAAACAAAAAAAAAAAAAAAAAAAAAAAAACAGCCCAGGATAAACAGCAATTCTCCTTTAATAAATCCAGAAAGGCTTCCTGGGAAATATAAGTCCTCCCTCTGCTCCTGCAGGGACCACTGCAGTTTATTTGCTCCCTTCTGACTCTCTTCTTAAACATCACACCATGCTCAGACTCCTTCCACGATGCACTATTGCTTGTAGACGAGCTTTACAGGAAGGGCAAGGTGCTACACAACCGGCCCCTAAACCACTTTTCCAACCATCATGTACATACTTCCTTTTGTCACTACAATTTAGGCTTTTGTTCAGAAAAATACTTGATAGAAGCTGGGGAGATGGCTCAGTAGAAAAAGCGCTTCTCTGGAAGCACAAGGGCCTGAGTTCAATCCCCAGTTCCGCAAAAAAAAAAAAAAAAACTTGGTAGCAGAACATTTAATTTTCCCCTCTGCCCAGCTGAGCACTCGGTACACACAGCAAGTGGACATGCTTCCAACCCTGGTATTGACCTGGGGCTCATGTCTCCTTTATTAACCTTCCTGTTGCCAGCAAGAGGAATGGAAGAAGGCAGGGCTCGTGTGGACCCCAGCTTCAGGAGTGTATTATTCATTACTACTTTATAACATATATGCAAGCTTCCCAGCACTCTGCCTCTCCTCCAACCCTCTGTGCTCTTTGGTGCTTTTACAGTGAGACAGCATTCTGAGTGGTTTCAGCTTATAGAACCATGGGAGTGCGGGCCTAGGTTCAAACCCTCACTCTGCTACTCATAAGCCAGGTGGCCTGAGCAAGTTCCTCAGTCTGCCTGTAGCTCAACTTGCTCCTACTGTTGCTGTGCGCGTGAAAGGCATTCCTCGGTGTGTAAAATGCTTAATCCCTTGCTTGGGCCACATAGGAAGGATGTTCACTACATCCTTATTTGGAGTATTGTCAAACCGAAAATTTTCTTTGATGTTTTATTTTTTAATAAAATGCTTCATATTGTTCCATAACATGCTAATTTAAATAAAAATATGCTTTTCTGGGTCCCTTGCTTTCCCACAGTTGAAAGCACTCACTGGATGCTCGTAACTAGCTGGAGTGAGTCCTCCCTATCCCAGCTCTCCAACCTCCTCCCTGCAGGAACAGCAGCAGCCAGCCCTGCCCACACCCTCCTCTCCTGGAGAGTCCGGCTCCAGCCCCAAGCTCAGGGGCCTCCCCCACCTTGTCAGCCTCCACAGCCCTTCCTGTGGAAAGAATCTTTCCCACCCAAAGCTATAAACTGCTCTGCGCACCATAGGAAATATTATATCCACACAGTGCTTAGTGCCTATCCTGGGAACAGAGTGGGTGCTCAAAACTTTTCCTGACTTCATGGGTATTTTTTTAAATTTATACTTTAAATTTATCTTGATTAGTGCATACTTATCAAGTATGTGATCACATGTATCTTGGGGAGTTGGGACAAGGACATAACACACCTCAATTATTTTTGCCCTCCATCTCTCCCTGCACCTGCTGCCTCATGATCCTCCTCGCATCTGCAAAGGCTCTACTTCCATCTTTTCTCCTTTCACTTCTTCTTTCTTCCTCTTTCCCTCTCTCCCCCCTACCTCCTACCACCTCTTTTATTTTGTTCTTTATTCACATTTTAGGGAGCTGGTTGTTACCTCTATCTGTCTTGATGAGATGCTGGAATACAGCTCCTCAAGGGATAGAAAAGACATGCAAAGCTCAGAAAGCATTCGACATGCAAAAACTAAGCACTACCTCGAGAGCTGGGAGTTTCTCTCCTTTAGGAGTGCTTTTCCACTTATAAATGCTACCTTGTTCTTCCCGTGAGTTTAAATCAAACTAATGAGACTCGGCAGTCCTGCCAAGGGCTCCTGAGCAAGGTCATAATGCTCAGATTCACTGAAGAATGATCAGCTAGAAGCCATTGGGGAGCGTCCTGCTGCAGGGTTACTGGAAGGTCTGTGTAGGTCTAACTCAGGCCCTTACAAAGTCTTCTTTACTAAGTGATCCAACTTTATAAGACTAATGCGACAGAAAAGTTCCAGGCTAAGTTTTAATTGGAAAAAGATCAGTTCAGCCTATCACATCAAATAGTTACTGTCCAACTGACTTCCTTCAAAGTCTGCTACTTGCTCAAAAACTCCCCAGTGTCCAGGGTTATAAAATTTTTATGAACAAGGACGTTACATTTAATTAGCTTTTTCATTGCCCCTACTCCCTACCCATTTCCTAGCATTTTTCTTCTGAAGCGATCTGTCTTTGCCACAGCCAGTGGGCTCACCACCCATGTAGCACCCAGTGCATAGCTGCCCGTGTACAGTCGGTCAGCAGACTGAAAGAAGGAAGACTCTCTCCTTCTATCTGAAGTAGGCTTCACTGCCACAGAACCCAAGTGTGAACAAATCTGCTGAGGAGACCTTACCTGAACATGTTTTCTTATCTGCATTCAGCGTGTACCCCTCGAAGCATTCACAGTGATAAGACCCGGACCTGTCATTCACACAGATGTGCTGGCAGCCGTGGGTACCAGAAGCACATTTGTCTTGGGCTGTCACACAAGTCAAGAAAAAAGAAATGAAAACTAAATATCTTTTATTACCCACATATTTAGAAATTCAAATGTTATTTGAAGAAATAAAAGGAAAACTTATTGATGGTACTCACAAGCCATCAGAAATATTTGCTCCAAATGGTGGTTAAGGGAATTAAATAAAATCCTACACACACAGTCATTATTGTCCGGCCTTCTCCAATTTACAAAATAATCAGTTTGAGGTTTTATAATCTAAGGATTTCATAAATAGTTTCTAAAGCATTTTGGTTTATTATATATTATACATTTGTTGTTTTGTTTTGTTTTGTTTTGTTTTGTTTTGTTTTGTTTTGTTTTGTTTTGGTGGAACCAGGGATTGAACTCAGGCCCTTGTGCTTGCCAGGGAAGTGCTTGTTCCACTGAGCCATCTCCCCGGCCCCCACTTAGTTTGTTGTATATTATCATAACCCAGAGAAATTGTTTGTCTAATTGCACTAGATTTGGAAAAGCAGAGTTAAGAATTGGAAGGACTTGTACATGTGTCCTAGAAAGGCCAGTTGATTCAGGGCAGTGTCAGAATTCAAGATCCAAAATTTTCATCCAATGTGCTTTCTTCTGCCTGGATATATTTTTAAGCTACTTTTTTAGATTTTTAAACTTTTCATTTAGAGATAACTTCAGACTTATGAAAAGAACACGGAAACAGAGCTAAGATCTCATTTTACTCTGCTTCTCCAAATTGTAGCAACTTACACAACACTAGTATGGTAATCAAAATTACACCTTATCATTTGCAAGCCCCGAGGATGCAGCTTGGTGGCACGAGTGACTGCCTGGCAAGCGCACGGTCCTGAGTTTGATTCCAGGTACCGAAAGAAAAATACATTATGATTTGAGAACCTGTGCACTTTATGAAATGTTGCCGGTTGTTTCATTAATGTCCCCTTTCTAGTCCATTAAGCGTTCACACCTTAGTGTCCTGTAATCTAGGCCATATTTTCTGCCTGCGTTTGTCTATTATGACTTTGACCCTCTTAAAAAGTACTGGCAATTACTTTCTGAACTAAAAATGTCTTTCCATTTGAGTCTGTCTGATGTTTCCTCATGATTTGGAGTTCTTAGAAAGAATACCACAATGGTGCTGTCCTAGCCTCAGTGCAGGCCATCACTACGGTCATCATGGTGACAGAAAGTCTGATCTCTCAGCCGCCATGGTATCTGCCAGCTCTCTCCACTACCAAGTTATGGTGTTGCCCTCTCTGAGCAATAAGTATCTTCTGGGATATTACTTGATGTTCAGTCAGCATTTGAAAGAACTGTGAAGGCCGAGTACAGAGAGGAGAGGAGGCACACACTTCTACACGTGATCCACACACATGGACACGTCCAACTTTTCAAGTAAGATTTCAAAATGGGAAACCCCTGGGGAGCAAGCAAAGAAAACCGACTGAGCTTTCAGTGTATGAGGAGCCCCAACACTGGGTAGGAAGAGAGAGGAAAAACGCAGTAGTTTTGACTCCTCCCTCATTTACCTGAGCATGTTTTCCGGTCTTCATTCAAAGTGTAACCTTCGTAGCACTCACAGTGGTAAGAGCCGCTTCCGTCATTCACACAAACCTGTTCACATCCGTGAGTGTCACGAGCACACTTGTCAATAGCTGTCGACAGAGCAGTGGGACAAACTGAACACAGCACGTAAGTCCTCCTGGGCCACTCCTCACTCACTTAGAGCTAACGAAGAGGGTCAGGACAGAGGAAGGTTTGGGGGAGCCTGGAACTAAGTGTCCGCTGTAACAGAGCTGGTGGTAAGGCAGGTTTATTTTTCCCTTCTTTTAGTCTCAGTTTTATTATCTATAAAATGAGTGTGTTAAATGATTTCTACATTTCTACATTTTCTTCCTCTCAAAAGCTCTTTTCTAGGAGGAAGAAGAGAAGAGGAAAGGAGAGACAAGGACAAGGAAGAAAAAAAGAAAGAAAAGGAGGAGAAACAAGAGGAAGATGAGGAGGAAAAAGAGGAAGAGGAAGAAGGCAAAGAAGAAGAAGCTGCTGCCCACCCCTCAGTGACTATATGCGTATCCAGATCCAGATGAGTGAGACCCCGCTAAACTTCCCTTCACTTCTAGGATGCATGAGTATGTTTGGCCACAGACAGGAAAGAGGTGCTAGTATTTCATTTAATAAAATCCAGGATAAGTGCCAAATCCTCAAAAAGACCAGGAGTTTTGGGTCCTTTCCTCACTTGGCTCTTCTCCTACTTTCTTTAACACTAGTAGTAAGTGATACCTGACAGATGACTTGTGTGTTATCTTACTTTTCTCCCCTCTCCTGCCTTTTCAAGGGGCACTGGGAATGAACCAAGGGCAGCCAAAGGCCTTTAGATAAGTGGGCCAGTCCCCAGCCCCAGCCTGGAGATGCCACAGCCTCACCTGAGCACGTCTTCTGGTCGGCGTTCAAGGTGTACCCCTGGCTGCATTCACAGTGGTGCCGGCCATCCCCATCACTGACACACACATGCTGGCACTGGTGTGTGCCCAGCTCGCAGGGGTCCAGAGCTGCACAAGGAAGTCATGATCACCAGGGTTTCCCCTCTGGGAAAAAAGGCACTGACTCCGGGCTTCCTCTCTGATTCTGTCTTCATTTCACTATAATGAAATGTCTTTGGCTCTAGCTTATTAGAAGTACACTGATATCTCTGTTCAGATTGTTTGTTGTTTGTTTTGGTACTAGGGATTTAACTCAGGATATTGTGCTTGCCAGGCAGGTGCTCATGCCCCTGAGCTATTTCTCCAGCCCCTATACACGGATATCTTCTCAGTTATCAAAAGCTCTCAGCTAGAACTTTCTACTACTCCAAGAGCAAAATGCAAAAGCAATCGTGCTTGGTGTGCTAAACTTTGCTTGATAGTCAAACTGAAAACCTTACCTGAAGATACCTGGAAGGGCCGAGAGTTAGCCACAGTGTCTCCATGCAGACACAAAGCGGCAGCACTGCAGTGTCAACACCCCCCCAACCTAGACAGCACGTAGGGCTGCGCCAGTGCGTTGAATCACTCATCACTGTGTGCTTTTTTCCTTGCACTTTATTTGCAAAAAAATATCACAACTATGGCTCCAAAGAAAGTTTATGATACCAGTGGTAAAGCTAAGAGGAAAACTGTGGGATGCACAGTGGAGGTTTTCGTTTATTTTATTTTGGTGTTTTTGAGACAGGGTCTCCCTATGAAGTCCAGACTGGTCTTGAACATGCAACGATCCTTCTGCCTCAGCCTCTCAAGTGCTGGGATTAAAGGTGTGTACGCACAATAGAGTTAAAGAAATAAATCACTGTGAAATTTGTTAAAATTCTGGCAAATTAATTATATGTGTAATTTGGGAACCTCTGAACCAATGATTTGGTTTTCAATTATTTTTCTTTTTTTTCTTTTTTTGGTGGTACCAGGGATCGAACTCAGGACCTTGCATGTACCAGGCAAGCACTTATTCCCCTGAGCTATCTCCCCAGCCCCTCCATTATTTCTTACTGGAATAAAAAATTCATTTCTTGAGTGTTTAAACTAAACTCAGGATATGAACTGAGTTCAACAACTGAGGCGTCACTGTACCACTCAAACTAAAAAATGTTGCTAATGTCAAATTGCAGATCTTGCTAGACTTCCTCAAAAAAGAAAGAGGATTTTGAATTTGAAGCTGAACCAAACTTTTCCATCAGATTTTTGCTTTGCATCCGGAGGCGGAGAACTATACAGCCATGAATGCTGAGGATGTGTCCACTGCAGCCTGGTTCCCAGGGGATTCCAGGATTTGTGCTCAAACAAAGTGTAAGCTTTAGCACACCCCCAAGCCTGCAACTCACTAGCTTGCACTGAGCTGGGGACATGAATTTGAATATGTAAATGTGGGGAGAATGCAGTAATTGCCTTCTAAAGCTTCAGCATAGCTCTTAGGGGCCTCATAAGGCAATAGGGAACACTGACCGCTACCACCCTCCAGGGCAGTGAACTCATATGTTAAATACAAATAGGTAAAAGAAAGAACAAGATAAACGAGACTACACCAGTTCATGGCACTGCCATCTTTTTGCACCAAGAGCTATTTATATCTCCTCAGAGTCTTTCTTCCTTAGTGACATGTTTTGAAAATCAGTCAGCTGGTCACGGTGGCACACA